CCCAGAGAGTTTCCAAAGCTGTAAATCTTTATGGAAGCAGACTAACACCTTTCTCCAGTGGACAAGCTGGTGGGTTTGAACTGGTGAACTTTTTGGTTGGCAGCCAAGCACTTAACCATACCACCACCAGGGCTCATCAAAAGGCTAAGAGGTCCTACTTTATAAAAACTCATGTAAACAATTTTTGACGTAACCAACCTACTTGCAGAACATACTGCTATGAACCACCATGTTCATTATTTCACTGATACCAAACCAAAACCAAACCCACTGCCATCGAGATGATTCCGACTCATAGCGACTCCTACTGGGTTTCCGAAGCTGTAAATATTTACAGAAGTAGGTTGCCCAGTCTTGCTTCTGTGGAGTGGCTGGTGGGTTTGAACCGCCAGCCGTCTGGTTAGCAGGCAAGTGTCTTAGCCACTATGCTACCAGAGCTCCCGTGAATTTGCCTACTTGGTAAAATTTATTTACAACCCTAAAAATAGTACTGACAGCACTTTTGTGGTCATTTGCAGACTCATACAATTTGCACATTGGGATTTTTAGTGTGCATATTCCAGTCACAAAAAGTAATGCTTTCTTCTTCTTTTAGCTCTCTAATGTAAACAATTGTCATTTTTTGGGGTATAGTCCTCCATTTCTTGAATTTTTGTGCTTTTTGCTATTTTGCTGTTCAAAATGACTCCCAAGTAAAATACTGAAGTGCTACAGTGTTCCTAAGTGCAAGAAGGCTGTGATGTGCCTGACAGAAAATGTCTGTCAGATGAGCTTCATTAAGGCGTAAGTTACAGTGCTTTTGACAATGAGTTCAACGTTAATGAATCAACAAAATATATTAAGTAACAATGTTAAATAATGACGGTCAAAAGGCTAGCAGAAACCTAACCTGGTATCTTCCCTAGGAAAAATGGTATTTGGCTAATTTACAGAATGTACCAGGAATGAGAATTTATTGTATGTTGTTGTTATGTGCCGACGAGTCGGACTGACTCATAGAGACCCCTCCTTGGGTTTCCAAGGTAGGATCACTATGGAAGTAGATTGCCCCATCTTCCTTCTGAGGAGTGGTTGGTGGGTTTGAACTGTCAGCCTTCTGGTTAGCAGTCAAGTGCTTTAGGCCCTACGCTACCAGAACTCCTAATTTACTGTATATGCTACTTCAAAATCTTCATGTCTATATTGTTTGTTCTTCCTAATTCCTTTCAACAAGGTCCCCCATAAACTACTTGTCTCTCAGTGCCTTAAGCTTTCTTGCTATCCCATCAGCTAACACTAGATCCAGAGATGAGGCATGACTTTACCACTTATTAACAGTTCCTTAATTGGTGCCTACCTCAAGCCTCTTTGATTTTCTTCTTCTAAGTTTTATTAAACAATTCATTTCATCTAATCTTCACAACCTTTGACATAAAGATGATCACAAAAAAATGGAGGCTCACAAAAGATTAGACATAACCAGTGAGACAGAATGCAGTCCTTTAACAAAATCCCTTTACAGCAACTAAACATGAGCTAACTGCTGTTTCTAGGGTATATCTTCATTCCTATGTAGCCTTTTTTTCCTTCAATCATGACTGATGCTGTATTTGAAGATCTCATTCAATTTTCCTGGCTAGATATATGATTATTTCTATAGATTTTTAAATTCTGTTTATTATACTGGTTTAGTAAGCTGCTCTTAAAATTATTTTCAGTCTTACCCTTTTTCCCCTAAATCATCATTCAACTCCAGATCTCCTTTATTTCATGCTAAGAAACCATATTCTTTTACATGCCCACACCCCCCCTAATTATTATTTTTGGTGGTGGTGGTGGACTTACACATATGTAAGTCTGATTCTGAGATCACATTCAACTAATATTTCACAAATATCTGGGACCCATGTACAAGTATGTCCATGAGTACAATGGTGAACATGATTTTCATGGTCATAAATCTTCCAAAACAAAAAGGACGTTTCAAACAGCCAATGAAAAACAGCCCATCAGAAAATTCTCTTAAGCTAATCATTAGCAGGAAGTCATAAACCTCGTGCCCAGGCATATCATTCTTTTTGCCAAAATTAAGAGTTCTAAAGAAAAGCTGGGTTTACATTGTTTTGTAATCTCATCTACCTATTCAGGCACCTCTATTATGCTCCTATTTTAGGTATACTTGACCCCTAGTGGCACACTACTTAAAGAGCTCAGCTGCTAACTGAAAGGTCAGCAGTTCAAACCCACTAGCCACTCCGTAGAAGAAAACTGAAGCAGTATGATTCCCCAAAGATTATAGCTTTAGAAACCCTATAGGGTAGTTCTACTCTGTCTAACAGGATTATTATGAGTCAGAATTGCCTTGATGGCACTGAGTTTTGGATTTGGTCCAAGATTATATGCATAAATAATTTGAGAAACTGTTTCTATTTCTCTACTTTCTCTTTTCCCCATGGACTATTCATTCACACAGGTAAAGATCTGAGTCATTTGGGCAGCCATCTTTCCCTTTTTATAACAATAAATAAATGATATAAAATAACTTCCTTAAAGTCACAACAAGCCAATGGTAGAGCAAGAACTCAACCAGGGCTTAATGTCCTTATTACCAGGAAATTTTATTAAACCTAAGGGGTATTCACAAGAGCAGAACAAACCAAAATTTGTCTACATTTTCTACTCTCTAGCACAGCAACTAAAAAGAACAAAAAGCAGACAGCGTATAAGGCTACATTTACCAAGTTCTTTGAAGACACAACTAAATCAAAATACCAGTTCACCATCCTTCCTCTGTAACTTCATAATTGTATCAAATTATTTTTAAATCACACAGAAGAGAAAGAATGCTTTGTTTTTCCTGAATGGAGTTTGGCTTGCCACATGCAAGTATGTTTAGGAAGTCAATGGATTTGATTATTCTCTGAGCCAAATTATGTCCCCTGTGTTTTTAGAGCTTTGTTTGCACTATTCATATGCATACACAAACACATTAAGAAATCTACTAATTTAAAAGAGGTACGGAATCATGTCTTCCTAATAGAACAATTCACAATTTACCCAGTTGGCATGTTGCCAAAATGAAGCTTTGCTAATACAGTAAAAATTTGCAACCCAGAGAAGTCAAGAATATTTTACAGCAGAACAAACAAATTAATACAAAATACTAGCAAAATAAGTCATGTAGTTTTTAGGATTACCACTTATATAGTTCTCAGGTTCCCAAAACTTTCCCCTCACACATCATCATTTGGTCACAACTCAGTAACCAAGTTTTAAAACTTCCTATTATGTGTATGAGCTAATAGGCTCATCTACTGCTTTATCAACTTACATTCTTTCTGTACAACCATAGTAGTTGTGTGGACCCCAGCCTAAATTCCTTCACCTAAAAACTTGATTTTAATCGAGTCCCTGCAGCAACAAAATTCTGATTTCAGGTACAGCACCATGTTTAAAACCTGTTTAAAATATATGTAAGTTAAGTTTTACATACTACTCCAGGACTTCTAAAGGAGCTCTGGTAGCGTAGTGCCTAAGGCACTTGACTGTTAACCAGAAGGCTGGCGGTTCAAACCCACCAGCCACTCCTTGGAAGGAAGATGGGGCAATCTACTTCCGTAGTGATACTGCCTCAGAAACCCAAGTAGGGGTCGCTATGAGTTGGATCCGACTCGATAGCACATAACAACAACAACCAGAACTTCTAATTCTCAAATAAAGACATTATTACATTCAAAGATCACTAACTCCACTTCAGAATAACTCAGATACCCTTTTACAAAAGACAGATAATTCTGTATCAAGAAAAGCTATCGCCTGTTAATTGAATATCCAATTAATATTCCTAAAAACTTGGGAAAACAAATTTTCCTTATAAAAGAAATTCTGTGAACCTTTTAAAATAATAGAGTTTTAGTAACACAATCACTCCTTAGTCTATTAAAAATGTTATTTAGATTTTCTTTCAAAATTTCAATGATGCACACATCAAGATTCACTTGAACTAAGAAAAAACTATAACCATTCAAATTTCAGTTTTCAACCAAAGGGTTAATTTCACGCTGGCTAACTATTAGTCATTTAATACATTAATAATACATATTATTCTTTCTTCAACAATTATTAGTTCAAGTTAAGGCTGACTTAATCTATTTTTTTAATCACCTATTAGGTTCCTGTAATGGAACATATTCTAATTTCTTCATCACTCATGACCAAAATATGTTCAGATTTTAACTTTCATTAGTTCTAATACTGTCACACTCCACTTTTAAATATCAAAGTTTATATTTTAAATTGCAAATGCATTTGTTCAAACACTTTTATAAAAGTTTAACATCTTGATTATCCAAACCTGCTATTCTGAAACTGTTTCATAAAAGAAATTGACTGTGATTTTTCATTATCTGTAGTTTAATTTAAAACCCAAAACCGAAACCCACTGCCATTGACCTGATTCCAAATCGTATTGATCCTATAGAACAGAACTGCCCTAAAGGGTTGCCAAGGCTTTAAATCTTTATGAAAGCACACTGCCATATCTTTCTTCACGAAGTGGGTTCAAATCCATGACCTTTTGGTTACCAGCCCGATGCTTTAACCACAGTGCCACAAGAAATCCTCTGCAGTTTAATTTAGTTAATACTAAAGGCATATTTTAAACATTAACCAAATAAAAAAAAACCTTGCTGCCATGGAGTCGGATCCGACTCATAGCGACCCCTCCTTGGCTTTCCAAGGTGGTATCACTACGGAAGTAGATTGCCCAGTCTTCCTTCTGAGGAGTGGCTGGTGGGTTTGAACCACCAGCATTCTGGTTAGCAGCCAAATGCTTTAGGCAGAGCTCCTGTAAGAATTACTGAAATCACCCTAATGTATCACATATTTCACACATATCTTTTAATGGCCCGTTTTCTGTTTATATACTGAAAAACAGCAGTAGTAACATTAATAATATTACTTTGATACAATTATTTATTAAATCTTTAGGGTCAAATTTTCTTTTTTTAAAAACCTTTTAGGTAATGTGCATGCAGTCTTATGCAGAAATGGGAAAGGTTTTTGCCTAACCAAAGAACATACCATGCAAAATGTAATGGAAAGAAGAAGAGTACTTCAAAACGGAGCAATAATTGATGCAAATGAACCAAATGGGCTCCTGGAAGGGCAAACAAAAACCACACGAGGACTTGGATTTCACGGAAATCTCAAATTGAAAAAATTTATGATTCCAGCACCTCAAACTATCTCAGTCCCTATAGATGACTTATGTCAATTTCTTATCCTAGCTACTAATGGACTCTGGGAAGTTCTAGATAAAAAGGAAGTCACTGCATTGGCAATGACAATATTTCACATGTATACGGAAAAACACTCTTCTATCACACAAAATAACTCTTCACCAGGCAAACTCAGTGAACCAAGTATTATGAAATCAGAAAGTAGTATCCACATATTGTATCAGGATAATTCTTTATCTAAAGAATGTATGTTAGCTACAAAAACAAAAGAAAATGTATGTGATTCAAAATCTTCTAAACATTCTACCCTCAACCTTGAAAATTCAGAAAAATTTCCACCAAATATGACTAATCATGCACCTTACAGCGGGGAAAAAACGAATGGTCCAGGCAGTGTAGATGGTGTGCCAACAGATCCAAATGAGAAGGAAAAAGAACCACACACTGAACATTTCTATGAAGGTGCAGCAAAGTACGTTAGCCATGAACTTGTAAATGCTGCTTTAGCAGCTGGCTCCAGAGATAACATTACCGTCATGGTAGTACTTCTCAATGGAAGTGATTATCACTTTCTGATATAATGCTCTTATTATCCAGAATACAAAAATATACCACCATAAAGACAGTTCTTCAATGACACAGATATTAGGAGATACTTTGTTAAGTCAATTTTAGGACCACAGTGAAGAAAATATAAAAGCATATTTTAGGTCACATAATACCATTCACGTATATTCATTGCTTCCTACTAAGAAAGACAGAAGAACCAATACTTGCTGTTTATACCACTTTATTCAAACCTGAGCACCTCAATATAAAACTAAACACTGGTAAACTGTTTTCCTTACTAATTCTGAATTACTGTAAATGTACAAGTTCTGCTACCAGTTCATCACTTAAATAGATTAAATCATCTCTGACACATGGTAGATTTCATACAATGAAAATAGCAAAAAGAATTAGTGCAATATACTGATCAAAATAAAATGAACTTTGGAAAACAAGGCTGGCTGAAAGACTGTTACTAACATTGTAGTACTTACGTTACAACTTACAGATACATAGTTTATTACGGTTCTAGCAATGTAGGAACTCAATCCCTTTCCTTTGAAAGGGGGAGAGAGAGAGAAAGGAAATAATTAGCTGTTTTAGTAACTGTACATTTTGTATATTTTTAAGCAACTCTTAAATATTACAGAAAAGTATTAAACAAAGGAAGGCTATAATGCAGTACCTATTTACAGTACATATGATCAAATTTAAAATAATCAAGTTTGAATGTACATAATTGTTAGTGCATTGACTATATTATGTCCAAAGGGAACAAGTTCCCTCCCTGTTCCCAAACAGCAAAACCACCTATATAAATGGCCAGCACTGATTAAACCGAAATCCCAGACACCTGGTCTGTTTCGAAGAGCTCACGTTTGATGGTAACACTATCCATCAAGATGCATTTATCAGTTTTCATATTTCTAAACCAAGATGGGTTACATATGATTTTTACCACTGTTCAAGAAACAACAGGACTGAATTTAGATACAGTATGCCACCAGTGTTCATTTTCTCTCCTGAAGATGTAGGACTGTGTTCTTGTGGCTTATTTATTAAAACATGGAATGTACACTTTAAATATGGATACCAGGAGAAATTTCCATTTGCCAGAATACTGCAGCTAAGCATAAATATCTTTAGAGTCTCCTAAAAAGAGAATGTTTTTGAAAAGCCCAAATTAGTAAGTTCCAATTCTTTCTCATAAACTACTATACCACACCAGTTTGGAGGAACTGGCTGGTTAACTGTACAGTCATTTCTCTGTATCTCCACTGATGAGAAATGATTCCTCCTAACCTTTCAACAAAATAAGTGTACACATAGCTCTTACTTTTCCCTTCTATTGGTAAAACGTTACTCAGAGGGACACATGCATGTTATTAAAAATTAAGTTCAAAACACTTAAAATAATTCTGTATTAGAAACTTGACTCTATCATTAAGTCTCTTCTTTTTAGAAGTCATACTGGGCTGGTTAAATGTTCCAATTCCACTGTTAACATTTAGGAAGCAGAAGGATATTCCAGCTAGTTCAAATTAGAGGTTTTAGTTACTACAACACTGACTCCTGGTTGGTTGTGTAGGTTCAGTAAGGTCTACTCCTCTTCCTCTGGCAGAATTGGCTCCTGGATTCTGTGGTTCGTTCTTTGGCAACTTTTTAGCTGGCAAAAAAATCCAATTAGAATGCTCGTATTAAAATTATTTCCATTTGCTTATTTAAGAAGTAATTTTCTTTCCAATTAGGTCATCTCAAAGTATTATTTAACATTTATTGAGAATCTTTAAATGCCAAAATATTGGTTGCTGCTTATAGAGTGTGATTTTTGGTTGTGTGTTGAGGGGGGTGGGGAAGTAAATGGGGACCAAATGAAGACACATAATTCAAACTGAACTTGATTACACTTACTTCATACTACGAGAAAACTTGTACTTTATTTGATAATCATTAATATGACTTCTATTCTAAGAAACCATAATAGACATTTTTCAGTATCTGAAATCAAGTATTTTTCATGTTCTGAGAATGAAAACATCAGTTTAAATCTGCTCACTAAATTTCTCTATTAACTAATTTCTTTTAAATAAATTTTATTTTGCTGTTGCTGAGAATATACACAGCAAAACACCCATCAATTCAACTGCTGCTACTGGTACCATTTAGTGACAGTGATGACATTCTTTGAGTCATGCAACCATACTCATCCTCCTTTCCTGGGCTGTTCCTCCTCCATTAACATAAATTCACTGCATCCTAAGGTTTCTATATATTCTTTCAACTTACTGTTGTCAATCTGATCCCATATAGTTTTTTTTTTTTTTTTCATATAAACATTATTTTTTTTTTTTAACCTTTCCTCCAAGTTACCATGTGTCTACCTTCTAGCTAGTGGTTTATCTTCTCTTCCTTACCCACCCCATAAACATTTTGTGGGGGGAGGGGGAAAGACACCCCCTTTTCTGACTTCTCACAATAGTGGTCTCATATAATATTTGTCCTTTTGTGGTTGACCAATTTCACTCAGCATAATGGCCTCTAAGTTGATCCACGTTGTCTTTTACAGATTTGTTATAGTTCTTTAATGTTGTGTAGTATTGCATTGTGTGTACATACCAGTTTCTTGATCCATTTCTCTGCTCACAGCATTTAGCTTGTTTCCAACTTTTTGCTATTGTGAACAGTGCTGTGATGAACATGGGTGTGCATATTATCTGTTCATGTCACAGCTCTTATTCTCTAGGATATATACTTAGTAGAGGGATTTCTGATTCATCCATATAGATAATTCTTAAAACAGCACAATTCTCTTTTATGTCAACTGCTCAGAAAGACGACAACCAGTAAATAAGCTTGTAAAGAAGCTAGCTCAGACCAATGTCTTCTGGTCTGCCATAAACACTTTTCAGAACAAGTCAGGATATAAACAAATACCATCATTACTACCACCACCTTCCCAGCAGAACTGATCTTCTACTGTCTACCTGATTATCAACAGAATTATGACAGATGACATCTCCTATGTCCTTCCTGCCTCCTCTATCTTCCATCCTTCACATTTCTACCATATTACCGTTTATGACTGATTAAAACCCTAATCTGATTCATCAGTAGCTACGCCTAATATTTATGGACTCGATCCTGAAGGATCCCACTTTTGAATCACATGAGCTTGGCTTGCCAGATCCAGACAAAGTTTTTCAACCAGCATTAGGGCTTCAGCTCTGCCAAGCTCTACAAAGCTACTGGCTGTTCTCTAGAGTATGAAGTTCTCTTTCATCAAAATTTATCTGCTAGATGCCATGTGGTTTAATCCTAAATACTCTGAATGTGCTGACTTTATTTTTTGAGAATAGTGATACTATTAATACACAATATCTAATATGAATAGTATATGTAATACAAATGATGAATTAAGAGCACTGACTGAAAAGGTAGTTGGCCAACTTGGTATCCTGGAGATGGACTATGACTGATTTCAGGATATTCAACAAGTTGAACATATTCTACTTCAAAATCCAAATGCCTAGTTGCACTTTTGATCTTTTTTCTGTTCTGTATATTCCACATCAGCAATAATCATCTTTAGAATTATAGATGCTGGACAATGGGCTTGAAAGCTAAGAGCAATAAAGACTGGGAAGAAATCCTTCACCTTGGGACACTTCTCTAGGAATGATAGTGTAAATGGTAATGTAATGATAAATTTCCAAACATATTTACAAGCAAACCCCAGTAGGTGCTGAATACTGGTACCTTAGAAAAAGAGTAGGCCTAACCAAGTTAGGTTCTGGTGTGAGTACAAAAGGATCATTGCTCCCTGTGCATAACTCTCCAAGGAGATTCAAATACAGAGCTTTTAACTACATTGGTTATATTTCTACTCTAAGGATCCATTGAAACAAGAAGTCTCCTGCTACCTGTACTGTGCAAGGATAACTGAAGTCACCCATTTTAGTTCTCATTATGGGGTGAATTGTGTGCCCCCACCAAAGAGGTGTTGGGATTTGGGTTTTCTTTGTTATGTTAATGGGGCACTATCAGTGTAGGGTGTGTCTTCACTCAGTCACTTTAAGGATACAAAAAAAGCAGACTAGGCACTGAAGCAAGCAAGCAAATATGGGGAAAACAAGGGTTACTCAGAGATGCCCAAGTAATGCCAGAGAAGCTGAGACAAAAGTTTTTTTCCCACAGCAGACAGAAAAAGCCTTCCCCTAGAGCCAGAGCTCTGAATCTGGACTTCTTGCCCCCTCAACTGTGAGATAGTATATTTCTGTTCATCAAGACCACCCACTTAAGCTATTTCTGTTGTAGTAGCACTAAGAAACTAAGACAGTTCTTAAACTGATCACAATTGTTAAGAAGCTAAAAATTCTAGACCAACTTAATGAAGCTGTGCAATGAAAGAAGCCCCTCAAGACCTTATAAAATTTAAAGGAGACCATGAATTTATTGTGGATTGTCCACAACAAAATAAGCATGCTTATATTGGGAAGTTATCAAAAATGACAATCAGTGCATTGTGTTATTATTTAAGTTACTGCTCTGGTAGCATAGTGGCTAAAGCACTTGACTGCTAACCAGAAGGCTGGCAGTTCAAACCCACCAGTCACTCCTCGAAAGGAGGGTTGGGCAATCCTACTCCTGTAGTGATACTGCCTCGGAAACCCAAG